TTATATAGATTGTTTTTTTTTTGTTTCTTTTTTCTTTTCTTTTTGTTTTTTTTTCATGGTATAGATGGACATGTTCTGATTGTTGTTGTCGGGCTCAAATATTGGTTCTTACTTGTATATTGTTGGTAAGTTCAGTTTTGGTATATCTGGTTCCAATGAATGGGATAAAGACCCGTAAAGAAGTAGTGCTTATGCAGGGATGTTCTGTGGCTTCTGTAAGTATATTAGTGGGTTAGGTCGTAGGCTTTTAAATAACCGATAGGTAGGATTATGTAGTATGTTTCTGATTTCGTTGAGCTGTCGGGAACGGTTTGTGTTTTATTGTTTACTCTGTGAGGTTTCATAGAGAAGGTTGCGACAAACGAGGTAAGTTTTAGTAAAGGAATGTGTAAATCGATATGAGTATACATAATCCTTTAGTTTGTTTGTTTGTGAGTCAGGGATCCGGTGAGTTTAATTAAAGAATGGGTGTAAACTTGTCGGCCTGATGTTGTGGTAGTGGTAACGGGCCTGGATAACCTGTATATACTAAAAAACTGTATTATTTAATAATAATAGTTTATCAGATTTGGGTTTTGTATTTTTTAAACACTTTGTTTATGTGGTGGATAATGTGGGCATATTTATGCTACCAAGTGCTCCTCTCTCAGCAGTTTTTGTAATTTTTGAAATTTTCTGAATTTGATCTCTGTAAGTTGTACTCCATGTGTTTGAACAATAATCAGTTATACTGAGAACTAATGTTTTTACAACCGATATTCTAGTTTCGGCGGGGATTCTATTGCTTATATGGCTTAGGTGAATTTGTATTTTCTGTGGATGTTGTCGACATGGTTCTCAATAACATGAATCTGTCAATGTGTACGCTTGGTCTTATGTGGCTGTCTGAGGTAATGTTTACAGAAATTTTGCCTGTCTTGCCTGTGAAAATTTATTGTTTTATCTGTATTTATCTTGAGATCATTTGTGTCAACGTATCCTTTTTACTCGTGCAAATGTCTCTTGAGTCTTTTTTGTTAATTAATCTATGTTGTTTACACAGTCACTCTGGAGAAATTGTAAACAGCGTATTCAACAAGACGGCAGTTTTGGGCTATGGTTGACAGAGCACTTACGAATATTGTGAAGAAGACTGGGCCTAATATCTATCCTTGTGGATAACCGAAGGATACCATCTGATTTGATGTATTCTCGCAATTTTGACTGATTGGGTTCTGTAATTTGATAACTTCTGAACCATTATGCATAAATTTTGTGATTTATTACATTACTCAGAAGGATTTCGTGGTTGACACTACCAAGCACGCAATGTAAGCACGTTTTTTTTTGGTTGTCTATCTTATAGATTTTATTTGCGATCTGTAATAATGCTGTTTCAGTTGACAGCTTACTTCTGAAACCATGTTGGGTATTGGGTAGTAGGTCATGTCTCTATAAACGTCAATTGGTCAGTTAATTTTTTTCGAGGACTTAATAGGGCGATACTTATCAACATCTGCGTCTGTGGATTTGAATACTGGTGTTATTATGCCTTATTTCCAAAGTCACATATGTGGAGTTTAGGAGTGAATAATGAAAATGGAAGATTATGGAGGAAGGGGAAGACCAGTTTCCATAAAAAATAAAAATAAGATATATCTGTTCAGTTGGCGAGATGAAATGGCCAAATATGTTTGCATTTCGTCTGTCAGCCAATCAGTTAATTATTGTAACAGTTGACCTGTCAGTCTTTAAAAAATCCCAGACCACCAATCAACAGCCAAAAAACATCCATAGTCACATCGTAGATATCACCCCTTTACTTCACTAAAATAAGAGAGAGAGAGAGAGAGAGAGAGAGAGAGAGAGAGAGAGAGAGAGAGAGAGAGAGAGAGAGAGAGAGAGAGAGAAAGAGAGAAAGAGAGAAAGAGAGAGAGAGAGAGAGAGAGACAGAGTGTCATGAACGTCTAAAACCATTCATTCATAAACATTCTATTTGCTTCAAGTATGGTGTTGCCACTTGTTGAGTTTCTTTACCAGAAGGAATATAGTAAGTATTCAAGAACGTACTGGTCAAATATTTGGTCAGCGAAATAGTGAGTAACGTAAGTTGTAGATAATAAATTAAACAGAAAAAGCCCTACTGGCCAATCAAAGGCAGCAGAAGGGCTATCCTTGCTGCAGTAGCACTTTTGATTAAGAAAGCTCTTGTAATATGTAAATTTTAAGATGTAATAGTAAATGCATCAATGGATGTGGGAAATTTAAGAAAATAAAATTATGTATTGGCATCAATGAGGAACCAATATTAATTCCTCGACGTTTCTGCAGTGATAAAACTTTTAACCTTTCGCCCAGGCCGCGTACCCGTTCGCCCACGAGATGCCCTTCATCACCATAGCAACGCCAGGTGTGGACTACCGCCAGAGCGCTGTCCTCGGCAACGTCTTGAATCCTTCTTACGCTCCTAACTACATGCAGTCTTACCCAGCACCTATGAGCATGCTCCACCGCTTCACGAACACGATTCAACACATCATGTTTGCCGTAAACTGGCGACATTGGAGCATTGTTCCGGCCGTACAGAAGGAGGTGAGTATCCTGGCGAGGAAGGGAAACTAGGTCTTTCAGCGTTGCTTACATTTTGATAAAAGATGCTATTATGGTGCTTATTAAGCTTACAGTAAATGGTTTTCATTGCCTTGGATTCCAGATCTAGTAATGGCAAGAAATATATGGAAGGACGAAGATAATAATATATATTTCCATTGTATCATTTAATAAATTTTATGCTCGCTTGTTTTAAATCCATCAGTAATTAATGTTTACTGAGACAATAACCGCGTCCCAAGAGGGTAAGAAAACAAGTTCCAGTAGGGTTAAGTCAGCATATGAAACTGGTTCACATCTGTCTCTCCAGATCTCGGCCCAGTTCCCGGACCTCCCGCCATTGCTGGACATTGAGCGCAACCAGAGCCTTACCTTGATGAACTCCCACTTCACAATGAACGATGTTCTGCCTCTGCTGCCGTCCCAGGTGGAAGTGGGGGCCATGCACTGCCGTCCTGGCAAGCCCCTCCCTGAGGTGAGACTCGTCTTTCTGAAGGGAATCCTAAGTTCTATGCAAAGACCGTCTACGAAAGACAGGAAACATATCTAACGCATTCTAAAAAATGTGAGCTCCCCGGTCGTCTACCAGCGCCATCTGTTGACTCGACGCCCAACTAAACGTCCGACGTCGTTCAGTGGGTGGGGTGTGCTCAGTGCTCACTCGGGTTAATGTTCTTGGTCAGTTCAGACTTATTCAGGGAATAGCTTATACTATTTATAAAATATATATATATATATATATAATATATATTATATATATATATTATATATATATATATATATATATATATATTCATATCGTATAATGACTTTGTAGTAGTATTTCTTCATATAATTCTTTCGCCCCTCCCCTGCCCATTCGGCAATTTATGGCTGGTTACCAACTATAAATTAGTAGTTCATACATGCACGACATACATACGGCGTATACAACTTGCCATATACAGGACACATTAAACCACGTGGCACATTGATCTTATAGGCCTACAGTCACATAACATTAGTGACATATAATGTATATGATTATATTGACAAACATGCATTAATACATAGAAATTTAGTATGATAAATTAAAGAAAATTATTACAATATCTTTATTAGAATAATAACAAAACCTTTACAAATAAATGGCCGAAATACACATTTTATTTCAATTCTTCGCATTGCGACCGCATGATTTTGAGATTCATTTCCTCATTAAAAAGTGTTTTTGTTTGATAAGGGGACTATCCCTAAACCCCTTTCCTAGGAGCTGCCTGGAATGCATTTGCTACACCTTGTACACTCTGGCTAGGAGCTCGAAACAGGCCACCCGTCGTTGTTCTGTTAACATTTGAACTTATTTTACTTTCTCTACATTTCTGTTTGTCCCTACTATACAGATCTACCAAGTCATGATCATTGTTCAATCAATATATATTGATTTTGGTGATAACTATAATCTAACTCAAAATCAACCTGACAGGGTATTTTTCACTCTATTGATATCAAAGTAGATTTTTGGCCTCTACTTTTTTAGACGGGCGTCATGACGTCATGTGATCCAATTTATATCTTGCTTATGTCAATCTGAACGTCACATATCTTAAGTTATATCTAAAGAAGCATAGATATTACGGACAATATGCAATATAAGGTAGTGCCTAAGTTGGGAGATAAAACCTATATAAATCGATAGACCGATACAAACCAAGACACTTTTCTTCTATGGCAATATTTGTGCAAATGCTTCCCAAGGGTGCTATACGTAAATGAACAGAGGGGAGAGCCCAATTTTGTCAAGTCCATCATCATCTTTTCATGACGTAAGTAAACATTGGACTGGACGCAGAACCGATTACTGCGCTGTTCAGTCTAGTGCATGTATTGCTGCGCGATTGTGAAAAGGATATTTTGCTAATCATCAGTGTCTGCCGTTCCATATTTATGCTTTCAAAGACCTTTATTAATGTTTTTTATACCTCATTTACGTGTTTTAAGATTGATTAAACAGGTTTTAACGGGAATCGGTCTGAAGGATCTTCTGCGCATGCGTATTTTCGCGTTTCTCGCCGCCAGTTTTGACAGTGGATTCGCGGGTAGTCGGTGGCAGAGAGCCGGTAAGAAATGTTTTGTTTTCGGTGTTGCGTCGATTCTAGGTTATTCCTAAGACTATGCAGTGGCAACGAAAAAGAAAAAGACCTCAATAACTATCGCAGTTCCATTTCTAAGGGCATCAAGTTCCCCAAATCCCGAAAAAAGCGATAAAAACGAAGCGACCCACGATCCACGACCGACCGAAAGAAGCGAAGGAAAATTGACAGTTCGGTCTTTCAATATATAAAGGTATTTGGTTTATTGTTTACAGTATGGATGTAGCTCTATCTTGCCGTACATACCGAGGTGAAGAGAATGTGTCCCGGGGGTGTTGGGTGCTTGCCCCCATCAACCCTCCCCCGGGCAGTGCCCGAAGGGCACGCCTAGTCACGGCACCGTAAATTGCTAGGTTAGGTTGGGTTATGGGTTAGGACGTTTTTTATGCTTGAAAGGTGCGAAATCCCGTAGATTTTACCGAAAGATGCGTTGTATTACCGTAGAGTTTTTCGAATTTTGGTGCGCAAGTGCGTAGAGTTTCATTAGCCGGTTTTTAGCCAGTTTTGGGCTAGTTTTTTTGTTTTTGTTCGCTATTCTTCTTATTTAAGCCTGTTTTACCCCATAATTTCCCTGATATACTTCATGCCCTCCCCTACTAACTGGACTAACAAATTAAGATTGTTGATGGAAGTGGTACTCAGATCTCATCAACGAAGCATTTGCACAAGAAACAACTAATTACCATGTCGGAACTGTCAGAACAATTTTCCCGCTCCTATGTTAACAGACGGGTATGAGATGACGTCACGAGATGCTCACTAACGTCATCTATTGCGCCGACGCCGCATTACTCACAGGATTTTGCTCGACTTTACGGTCTTTCGTAGATAGTCTTTGGTTCCATGCTAGATGGAGAACCACAACTCCAAGGTATTATCGATGAGCACAGAAATGAAATGGAATATCGATGGTAGCCGATGCTCATCTGGATTTATTTGGATTTGTAAGTGGTCGTTTGTCAGTAGACACGTATCCTACAGGATTTAGAGTCGTGGATCAGTGGCGCAGGATCAGAGGGCGTCGTGTACTTCAGTCTCGGCTCCGTGGCTCAGGGTCAGTCGATGCCCACGAAGTACCGAGATATGTTCGTGAGGCCTTCAAGCAGCTCAAACAGCGAGTCATCTGGAAGTACGAGGAGGCGCTGGAGGGCATCTCTGACAACGTGCTAATGCGGAAGTGGCTGCCGCAGCAGGATATTCTCGGTGAGTTGATCTTAGCTGGTTCTGAAATGCAAGATTTACATTTTTTTTTTCTCAAGATACCCATTGGCAATACTATTAGTATTACTGATGATAATCTTCATGAGCATCATAGTAAATGGACAAGGAAAACAATGGCACAGCAATTAAATCTTATAAATTTCAATAGGAAACAGGGTAAGGATTATTGTTGTTTTTGATAACTAACCGCAATGGAGAACCCTAGAATGGGGTTGCTCATGTGTTTTACCATTGGTGTTTCAGCGCATCCAAACGTCCGGGTTTTTATCTCCCACGGAGGACTCCTCAGCACTCAGGAGTCCTTCTACCACTCTACGCCAGTCCTCGCAATCCCCATCTTTGCGGATCAGCCCAAGAATGGCATGAACATACAGAACAACGGCCTCGGGCTGATGCTTGTGTGGAGGAGTTGACGGTCGAGCTCATCGTCAACAGTCTCCAGGAAATTATCTCGAATCCCAAGTAAGGGTTTTCAGCTTGAATGTACAGGACTTTTGAAGCTTTTTATTCATTAATACTGAATTATCTGACTCTCACACAGAGACATGGTTTCTGCACATTCCTTGAGGCCTCAGAGCCTCACTGACAGCGAGCCCTCAACCGCAGGTACAAAAGCCAGGGCCGCAGAGGTGCGGGCTCCCCTCCGCGACCAGCCCGAGAGCCCGAAGGATCGGGCGGTGTTCTGGACCGAGTACGTGATCCGGCACAAGGGCGCCCCCGGCTGCGGTCTCCGGCGGCGACGCTGTCGTGGGTCGAGTTCCTCATGCTGGACGTGCTGCTGGCGCTGCACGT